AACCATTCATAGCTGCAAAATACACTTCCACAAAAAAATAATAATCTCAAAACATCTTTCCATTTTATACATAGAAGGGACACCATTTTACTATGCCCTTGTATACAATGGGACTTGAGCACTGGAACCAAACCATATCTGATGCCATGGGCCCACTGTATAGAGAGATACATGTATCTGTGCTATGAGTAAATTGAGAGAGGGATGTGTAGAAGTTTGATCTAAATATCTCCTTCCCATCACCTCCACCATAACCATTATTCAAATGTCCTGTCTCTGAAAACAAATAAGGCCAAACAAAAACTAAGTTCACAAGCTTTGCACATGGGTAATACATGCAGCCAGTACTCTGTATCCATGGCTTGAAAAAACCCCCAGCCCTTCTCCTCAAAAATAAATTCACAAAGGCAAATCATGATCTTTCTATTTATATAATGGACCACCTCTGTATATAATGAGATCTGAGCAGCCTTAGATTTTATTGCCCATGGGTGTCCTTTAACAAAACTTCAGTGAATACCAAAGGCCCAGTGTATTTTGTTTCCATCTGTATGTTTAAAGCAACTCTCAAAATTATCCAGTGTATATCAGGGGTGGGGGGGTTATGCAGCTTTCCAGATGTTGGCGGATTGCTCCCACCATAGCCAATAACCCTCCACACAGCCCTATATACCAGAATATCAAGGCAGAAAATCCCACAATATCTGCTTTGAATTGGGTTATCTGAGTCCACACTCAGGGCCCATCCAGACAGGACCTTTATTGCGGGAACTACTGCAATAAAGGAGGGGCTGTCCAGATAACGTTCTGGACAGTCCCACATTAATTTGTTACACACCAGGAAAACCCTGGTTTGTAGTGAATTAATTTGATAGAGGATTTATTCCGTGCCTTCTTGGAAGGCCCAGGATAAATCCATTATCTCTAGTGGCTGGACTACAGTCCAGATACCATTCCCATAGTTTACCGGGCTAAATAAGCCCAATAAACTGTGTGAATATCCACTCCCTCCACCCATGGCCCCAGACCCTTTTGAAAAGTAAAAAGAACCTACCAGGCCTGCAGTCCCCCCGCCCCCTAAGCAGGTCTCCTGCTGTGTAGAAATGATGTGCCAGGAGGAGGGGGGGGGGAGGAAAATCACTCCACTGCTCTCCTGGCACGTCATTTCGACATGCCGGGACAGCTGCTCTGGGGGGAAACTGCAGGCCTGGAAAGCTCTTTTTACTTTTCAAAAGGGTCTGGGGGTTTGGGGGGAGGGGGGTAGGGCCTCCAGACATTCTCTCAGGCTAGTCCTGAGAGAACATCTGGACAACCCTTCCCAGAAAGTGCACACTTTCTGGGGTGGGTATGGACAGGCCCCCAGAAACATCTGCGTTATTTTAATGTGGATTCTTCTGGGAAAGGGCCTGTCTGGATCCGGCCTCAGATAATGTGGGGTTTTCTGCCTTGATATTTGGGGATATAGGGCTTTGTGGAACGACCCTAGGAATACTGGGAGTTACAGTTCAACAACATCTTGAGAACCACATCATTCCCATTTCTGCTAGGGCTGCACTGAATATGCTCAAAAGGGTGTCTGGGAATGTAGTGGCAAGCTTTAACTACATCTAATCACATTCAGTTGAAGGTCAAAAGTGGCCAGAAGCTTATTCAAACAAGGCATGTATCTTCAGTTGTCTGGACAATATATGGCAGGATTTGCTTACAAACAAAACAGCATTGTTTATAGAAGGAAGAAGGTTTAGTACACATAGGCAATATTCATCATGCAAAGGTTTAGGATCCTGAGCAAGTACAGTTGCTGCAGAAATAGTGGCACAAGTTTACCTGCAAGGAAATCTCATTTATTTTTATGCTGCAATTATCTTTTGTGATAGATTTTAATCTGTTTTTATTATTTACTTCAGTAATGTATATGTAATTATATTTTAAAGAAGTTTTTACTTGGGTTACAGAACCATATTGGATTAGAATCTTTTATAGAAAAGTTAGGACACATCAAATATGTTTGCTTTTCTTTTAATTCATAAAGGCCATAAGTGCACATGTATTCTTATAGGCATCTATGAAGAATGCCCAGAACATCCATTTTGTTTCCATTACTCTCATCACTTTTAAGTCCTAGGCAAGAAGAATTGCAAAACCTTAGGCAAATTTCAGTTTAGGCCAAGAGGAAATTGAAATCCTTGTCACTGCAAGGCAACCTTTCTCTGATCCATCATTTTGTTGCTTTAAGTCTGTAATTTAGCATAAACCAGGCAGAGCTTGTCCTTGGAATGTGGAATATCTTGGTCAATGCTGGATTTCAAATCAAGAAGTTCATTAATACTGGAAATGAAAATATTTTGGAGAGAAGCTTTTAAACATGGGTGCTTACAATAAATAATTTTTCTCCCACTCAATAATAAAATCTTAAACTTCTTTCAGGGACCAGGCATGTTTGTCTATAGCAGTGGTTCTCAACCTGTGGGTCCCCAATTGTTTTGGCTGTCAACTCCCAGAAATCCTAACAGCTGGTAAACTGGTTGGGATTTCAGGAAGTTGTAGGCCAAAACACCTGGGGACCCACAGGCTGGGAAGCACTGGTCTATAGGTAACACAAGGAATGAATTCTGTGGATCTAGAGAAGGAGAACTGATAGAAAGAATTGGATCAGGGTGGATGGATGTCTAGGGGCAGAGCAGGCCCGTAGCCAGGATTTTGATGGGGGGGGGGGCTGAGTTTGGATCGGGGGGGGGGGGCTCAGGATCTACACTAGCAAACCTTTTGTATTATTATCCCAATACCCCCTTGCATATGGGATATATTGAGCATGGTGATCAGATCATGGTATGAATAAACGTAACCGTTTAAATAATGTATCAGTAAGRCCTTCTCRCGGATCCCCTGAGAATATCAGCTACAGGCCTGGGGCAGAGTTATCATGATCAACCCATACATCAAACTTGCAGGCTTTGTGAGATTTCACCCTAACTCAAGGTAAACAAATCTTCACAGATAATTCATATATATGTTCATGGAGGACTGAGATGTAAGCAGTAGAAAGTCTTAAAAGAGGGAGCTAGACAGCATTTGGGGTACACATGTTAAATATATTGTTTTCTGAGCTCTCCCCACACATCATGTATTGAGATGCCTTTTTTCAAAGGTGACTTGATCAAAGTGCTTTGGGCTTGGGATGTGAGAAGAATGGTTATCTCAGTGTGGACTCAAATAACCCAATTCAAAGCAGATATTGTGGGATTTTCTGCCTTGATATTTTGGGATATAGGGCTGTGTGGAAAGGCCCAATGTGACTCATCCAAAGTCACCAAGTGCATTTTCATGGCCGAACAGGGACTTGAACTCTGATATTACATAATCATAGTCCAGTGCTCAAACCACTATACCAATTGCCAGCAGTTTGCATGTGTGTTTTGCTTGTATGATAGGATAACGGATGAAGCATGGAGCAATGCATTCATCGCTGCCTAAATAATAACGATGTAAACAGAGTTCTGATTCAAAGCTGTAAACAGCTCATAGTCAACTTTTATTCTATCCTATCCAGGCATAAGGCAGCTAACATGAAAATTATTGTCTTGTTCATGGAACCTATAATTGGCCAGTGATTCTTATTCAAGTTTGTACTTGTTAAGTATGAATCTTGCAGACAGCAGGAGAGAGTCATGTACAGAGAGTTTAGGAGTGGCTCCCTTGCCTTACTGTTGATGATGATTATACTGTACTATGCGTCTTACAAAGAAAAGAAGATTTGAATGACATCTTAGCACTCTCAGCTCCTCATGTGTATCTGTTTTTGTTTTTCCAAACACATTCATTCAATATCCAATCTAGAGTACTTTCTAGTACTATTTTCAGCTTTATAATTAAGAACTGCCTAAATTGTTACATGGAAATCATCTTCATAAACTAATTAGTGACTCAGTGCATGTTGATATAACTTGCTCTAGTCTTGCCCTCTAATTTTTTATTGTCTGTTTCTAATACTTATGATTGCAAAACAGAGGTAGGGAAGGTGTGGTCTCCAGCATTTGCTGGGCAGCAACTCCCTTCAGACCGAGACAGATTAGCCAACAATGAACGATTATTCAAGTCGCCCTCTAATACTGTCCTGAGATGGGCTCCACATTCCCAGTTGTAGAGAAGTCTTGATTTAATATTACAAATATTGATTGGGAAAATGGGGGTGGCAGAGATCTTGTTAAAATGGCACTAGGAACTTGCCAAAGCCCCAAGTTACATTTGTAGTTTGTGGAGGGATATTTAGAATTCTCAGCTAATACCTGAAATACTTTCATTGTAAATTTATAGAATTTATTATGTTTTCAAATGTTTGCTGTGAAATTTATTCAATTCTGCCCCAAATCTAGTTGCTTGACCCGTTAATAGTAAAACCCAGTCAATGACTGAATCACATGTCAACAACTCCATGAATCTCATTGTTTCACTAGGGGCCCTTCTACACTGCCATGTAATCCAGACTATCAAATCAGATAATCCACATTATCTGCTTTGAACCGGATTATCCAAGTCCATGCTGCCATATAATCCAGTTCAAAGCAGATAATCTGGACTTTATACCTCTGTGTAGAAGGGGCCTGGGTCTTTCCTAGTTATCACTTGTTCTTCTTGTTGTGTGCCTTCAAGTCCTTTCAATTTATGATGATCCTAAGGTAAACATACCATGGGGTTTTATTCAGAGAATGTTTTCCTTTGTTTTGTTTTTGAGGGTGAGAAAGTGTGACTTGCTCAAGGTCACCCAGTGGGCTTTTATGAACAAGGTGGAATTTGAACCCTGGTTGTAGACTGATACTCAAAGTGCCACATTATACTGTTTGTCTAGATGGGACAATCAGTCAGATTTATACCTTTGTACTAAAAATAAATATTTTCACACATTTTATTCCAAGCAGAGATCCTTTGTTAACAATTTATAATCCAATACTTCATGTAAAATAATTTGTCTCTTCTTTCCCCCTCACTCTTCTTCCTTCAAGGTTGGGGTAAAGCAGCAGCTGCGACATACTTGGTTGGCTTTTGCATCCTGTGTATCTGCTTCTGCCTCGCAGTCATTGCATTTTCCATTGAAGTACTGCGATGGAACTTTGTTCGAGGAATCGGGGGCTTGCTGTTTGTTGTTGGTAAGGCTGTCACTACTATCCCAAAATTTCTTTTGCTGTCTGATGGAGAATCATATATTTTATTTTTAAGTCCCAGACAACAAGATTATTCCCTCTCTCCCTCTTCAGTCATCTCTCCATGTTTATGGTTTTTATTTTTGAGGATTTAATTAAAAACAGATCTGTATGTTAAAAGGTAAAGGCTTCCCCTTGACATTAAGTCTAGTCATGTCCGACTCTGCGGGGTGGTGCTCATCTCCATTTCTAAGCAGAAGAGCCAGTATGTTACTGTTCAACGAATCCCTCCTCTCCTTTGGTTAAGCAGTGTTCTGGGCATGATTGCCATCCATCTCCCTGCCATCCCCAAGTATCAATGTTTTCAGCCTGACACATATATTTTAAGAACATAAAATCTACCATTATAAAAGTAAGGGAAAAGTGAGGTAACTTGAAATTTAATGAGGGAAGAAAGGTCAGCGGATAACAGTGGCAAATCTTCCAAATTTTGTCAGTGAAACTCCCTAAAGATGTAATGGGAGAAATGAAAACAGTGGATATAGATGTATGACACTTATCCCATCCCTATGAGACACTCCTTGGAGGTAACTCTTTCCTTCATATACCCCCCCCCCCACCTCCAAAAGACACATTGGATTTTAAAAGTTGCAGCGAATATCAGAAAAATAGTAAGAACATTGTTGGAATATCAAAAAAAAATTCCTGGTAACTTCACTTAAAACTCCTACTGAAGGGCTAGAGGAGTCCTTTGGAAACTAGTTCATGTATACAAACCAACTATTTTGTTTGTTGGGTTCCATCTACACTGCCATACTAACTGCATTGAACTGGATTATAGACTCATATAATCCATATAATCCAGTTCAATGTGATTCAATCTGCACTATATAAGTCAACACTGACCATCATAATGCAGTTCAAACTGGATTATATGGCAGTGTAGATGGGCCTTAGTACCTGTGATGTGACAGAAATGGCCTGCTCTAAATCCTTGCATAATTATGCATCCTGAGATATTGTTATTCTCTTTTCCCCCATTCAGCCGCTTTCCAGATCCTAGGCTTGGTTATCTACCCAGTGATGTACACAGAAGACATTCCTCTGACGGGAAGCAACATGTTCAGTTGGGCCTATGGCTTTGGCTGGGCAAGCACTGTGATGGTGATCGGCTGCGCATTCTTCTTCTGCTGCCTGCCCAACTGGGAAGACGAAGTCCTGGGCAATATAAAACCCTATGGATATAATGATGTGGAGCGTATGTGATCTGGGAGTGATAGAACATTGTTTTTAATATTATTTCTGCTTTGTAGCAGGAAACCCATGATTGTATTTGCCATTTTCTCACTTTGTTCACAAAAACACTAAAAGCTTCAGTGCCATCTTGAAAGCTAGAAAATATTATTATGGCATCCATTTTCATGGATCAAAGCCTATTTCATTGTCCCTGAAAAATTATGCCAGAATAAAATTCTGTAGGTTTTACCTTGCCATGGTTATTCATTGTTGTTTCTGTAACATACTACCATAGTTACGTACCTGGAAATGAATGCAAATTCCACAGTTACTTTTTAGACATGTACCCATTTTCAGAACTCACAGCAGTTCAATTAGAGGGAAAAGAATAGCATTCTGTATTTTCACAGTGAAAAAACTTTCTTTTTATATTTCTCTTTTAATAAGAATTGCTTTTTGTAGGAAATTATATTGCTGGTGTAGTTCATTCCTATATGGTAGTCTTACTGATTTAATCAATTGATAAAGAGTAATTTGGAACATTTTCCCCTAAGAGTACACCAGCACAACTTTTAATTTTGTTTTAGATCTATAGCTCAGGAAGCTTGTACAGTAACATCAGTCTGAAGTAGGATTTTAGGATGATTGATTCTAGCTATAACAAAACAACGTATGTGAAAAGGCTTCAGAAAAAGCTCAGAATAAATGTATATACATGTAGCATGCAATCTGCTAAACACTCTTTTCTGTCCATGCACATATACTGCCCCTTTTAAAGCTAGTGCTAGAGTAGTGCTTGCAGCAATATATTCAAAATGAATATTACACTCAATGAGTTACTGATAGTTCTCAAGTAAATTTAAAAATGAGGACTCCAGTATTTTCTGTGCAGGAAAAGTACTGTATAATACAAATTGGCTTCCTATACATCTTGGACACAAATTAATTTTACTTACAATTGGGTAGCAGCAGTATTTTTCTAAATAGTGTATTCACTAAATCGTGACGAGTAACGTGTGTAAAAATATTTCCCATTCCCCTTCTTCCATGTAGCAGAAAAATTGTAATATAATTAGAGTTCCTCTCTGTGTTTAAGTTCCTCTATGAGAACCCTGGATTTTCCATGCATCTAGTAGTCAAATACATCTATGAAACAATTTAATAAGATAGTCATAATAGTTGCTTAAGCATATGATGCAATTTTGTACAGTAAATTATTCAGCAGTTGCATGGTTTTTAACTGCTGGCACCATCCATCCAATTAATGGCATTTACAGTCATTACAGTCATGCAAAATGTATCTCCTCAGGAGTAAAATTCATCTTTACTCCCAGTTAAGCATGTATAGGATTGGGATTTTAAGTCTTATTGAATTCAATAGAAGAGTTGAGTATTTACTTTAGAAAGTCTTGTTTTGAAAATGATGGGATTTAAAGCTGTAACTTTGGCTAGCATTTGCTGTCTAATTTCAGCATTTAGAATATGATTATTTTTAGGTCTCAGGTTCTAAATATTGTCAGTAGTGCCAGATAGGATTTAAAATTCATTTATTTTGACACAGGATTAAACATAGTATGTCTTGAAACCTTGCCTGGAATATCTTCTGTAGGCATTTGCATGTCCTCCAGCATGATTCTATGGCCAATTTCCGAAGGAGGTTTACACACAGTACTTCACTTTCACAGGGGTCCAATGCCTTTAATTTCCCTGAAATGGAAGGCCTATAGTAGTTTCATTTGTATTAAAACAAAAAACACAAGATTCAAAACATACATTAACAATGATAATCATTTAAATAAAACACGTCAGAAAGAGGATTGGCATGTCAAATATGTGGTTTTGTTATATATCTTGTTATAGGAAATCTTTTATATTTGCAGAAATGTTATATAGTGCCATTTTTAATCTCAGAGATGGCTTTTGTATGTGTTTATTTTTGTTCAGAAGAATCCATCCATGGTTGAATAAACCCATTAATAAAGACTGATCAAGCCATATAAGTTCTTATCATATAAATCTGCATGTATTTCATTTGTCTTAAATCTGTTTTTAACTGCTAGATTATGGGCTGACTGGAGATTAAATCACAAAATGCAGCAACACACAATGTAACAGAGATCCTGCATACATTCAGTAAATATCTATTGTTCTGGCCGGGGTTGCTGGGCTTTGCAGTTGAATCATATCTAGAGGGTAGCACAGTCCACACATGTGTTTTTAAACATTGAAAGGGGGAATTAGAAGGGGGAAGTAAATGGAAGATACTCTGCCTAGTTTTTTTTGGGGGGGGGGGGCAATATGACTTCTGTTTCTTGGCAGGAGGTTGGACTGGATTGTTGGCAGATGGAGATAAATCACCTTCCTTATCTCAGCTGCTTTGACCTTCCAAATTTCTACTTGAGGGCACGAACTTGTAAAGACACCAGACTCCTTAATTCAGCTTTCATTGAAAGCAGCACATTATATTTTATTTACACAAATATACACAAATATACAAGACAACCTTCAATCATGTCCATTCACATCTCGGCACACTGCAAGAAGCACATTCCTTTCTTCACTCCTTCATCTGGCCAGCACATGAACCTCCAAAAGTGACATTCTGCCAATACTACACATCTCTATGTTTTAACCCTTGCATTTCCGAAATCACACAGTTTAAACTATAAGCAATTTTCATACTAGAAAACATTACACACTAACATGGATTGCTCACAAAGTCACTTCCACCTCTATGATTCTATGACTAATTGGAGATTCATAAAATATAATTTTCTGGTAATCCTTACCTAAGCCTGCAAACCTGACCTTGAAGAGCTCACACAATCATTCTGGCATGTGATAAATGCAGGTAGAATTCAACTAACTTCAGTTAGTGGCAGGCATGTAGCCGGGGGGGGGGGGGGCTTGGGGGGCTTCATCCCCCCCCCCAATTTTCATGGTGGTCTGCGAAAAGGCCTTACTGGTACATTATTTAAACTGTTATGTTTATTCATATCATGATCTGATCACCATGCTCAATATATCCCATATGCATGGGGGTATTGGGGTAACGATACAAAAGGTTTGCTAGGGTAGACCCTCTTTCACTCAGACTCAGCCCCCCCCCCCCGAATCAAACTCAGCCCCCACCTCCCGAATCAAAGTCCCTCCAGAATCAAAATCCTGGCTACGGGCCTGGTTAGTGGCAAGCTGGCAGCATAAACGCCAAATTCAGTCTTTGCTCCAGGTTACTACAATACCATCTAAAGTTCTATCTTAGAAACAACGCACCTAAATGGCTAAACTATCCCCTTAGGGTTTTGATCTTTTTCTTAGAAGTGAAATAATGCTGAGCTCTGAAGAGTTAAGAATCCTAGTCTAACACTCAAACAATGCGTCTACTGCTATACATGAAGTCAAAGGAAACATGAGCTCTAGTAGCATCAACAACCAAAATACAAATAAATTTGCAGTACTTCTATGTATTGTTAGACCATCCTTAGTATTTTTCAATTGATCATGGTTGGTCATCTTATGAAGACTCCATGAATTTCAAAGGAAAGGAATATTCAGAGGTGGTTTTGCCAGTTCCTTCTTCTGGGGACTTGTCTACACATCTGAAAACCTGGTATAAAGTGGGATAAAGGGAGGGGGAGCTACAAAACACAGACTGACATTGTGCAGTTGATTGCAGGTTGGCATGGAAAACACGTGATTAAAAGGTTTGCATAAAACCCAATCTCAGGTTTAAAATGCACTGCTATGGAGGCCTCTAATGTCCCAGCACCCCAAAAAATGAGATTTCTTTGCAGTATGCTGGCATAGACTGCTCCAGTGCTTTTCATTTTAAAATTATTTATTTATTTCCAACATTTCTACCCCATCTTTCTCAACCCCTGAAGGGGGACTCAGGTTGGTTTACAATGGCAGCAATTTGATGCTGACAACATACAAAAATATATTACAAACAACATAATACAGAAGATAAAACATTAGATTAAAATACATTTAAAACATTGTTCATCATATAGCTGAAGTCAATTCTGATTTAAATCTCCAAACAGCTGATGAGGGATGTAAACAGATGGAGCTACAGACACACAGGTGACTAAATGGAAGTATGAGGGGAAAGCAATTTCCATGAGAACTCGTGCCAATCATTCCTTTGTTCTCATTTCCTGTGTATTACTGAAAGGAAATGGAGTGGGGAGCAGCATGTTGCAGGCAAGTGACCCCAAAGGAAAACAGAGTCCAAGAGGGCAAACCTGGAGGCACCAGAAATGAGACTGAGAAGAAGCAACAGAAAATCTTATGGTGCATACTTTGTTATATCCACATCAGCACTGCAACTTTGGCAAAAATATTTATGAGGTGCAGTGCATCTCAGGGAGTCAGTAAGAAAAAAATTTAAAAGAAAATTTCTTGGGGATGTCTACCATATCTTTTGCAGTTTGCTTCAATCTGCATTAACCTAACTTTTTTGGATGTCATGGGACCATTTCCCAGAACTGAGAACTCCATGTATGGACTCTCCTTGAGATACTGGAATTTTAAAAAATCCTTACTCCGGATTAATCAGATGTCTACAAGAAAAATAGTCTACAGCTCTTGCTATTCATTGGCAGTCACCTATCCAAAGATGAATCAGGGGTGACTTTGCTTAGCTTCCAAGATCACAGCAGATCTGGTGCCTTTTGAGTATTTACGCCTCTCCAGGTGATACTAGCTCTCTTCTATTATTTTTTCCCTCTACCTTTTCTAACCATAAAATTTTCCCCTTTTATTCAGTTCCCCTCTCAAAATGAATGTTTCAGTGATACATTCAGTACTTACTTAGGCGATCCCTCGTACTCCAAGGATGATGGTCCTGCAAGTGTAGTGTCCTGGCGGTGGGTTTGTAGGTGACTGTGGAGCCCTAATCTTGATCTGCATCTTCTCCCACAGTGAGGGCATCGGTTACCAGGTGGAAGGTGGTTCTGGTTGGGGTTGGCTTGATGCGCCTTCCTCTTGGCACGTTTATCTCTTTCGCCCTCCATTCGTGCCTCTTCACATTCTGCATCACTGCTGGTCACAGCTGACCTCCAGCTGGAGCACTCAAAGGCCAGGGCTTCCCAGTTCTCAGTGTCTATGCCAGAGTTTTAAAGGTTGGCTTTGAGCCCATCTTTAAATCTCTTTTCCTGTCCTCCAACATTCCATTTTCCATTCTTGAGTTTGGAATAGAGCAACTGCTTTGGGAGACGGTGGTCAGACATTTGGAAAACGTGGCTGGTCCAGCGGAGTTGATGGCGGAGGACCATCGCTTCAATGCTGGTGGTCTTTGCTTCTTCCAGCACACTAACATTTGTCCGCTTGTCTTCCCAAGAGATTTGCAGGATTTTTCGGAGGCAGCGCTGATGGACTTATTCCAGGAATTGCATGTGATGTCTGTAGACTGTCCACTTATCACAGGCATATAGCAGAGTTGGGAGGACAATAGCTTTATAAACAAGCATCTTGGTATTCCTACGGATGTCCTCAAACACTCTCTGCTTCATTCGGAAAAATGCTGCACTCACAGAGCTCAGTAATGCTAATGTGATTTGTTTTAATATTGTGCCATCAAGTTATAATGAGTCACAGTATCACTGACTGAGTTATACTTCTTGTCTGGTCCTAGGATCAGTTAGATAGAAGCAGGAACTGCAAATATATCTATGATTAGCCTTTGGAAGGTTCATATGTGGTCTGAATTTCCTTGATTTTTGGAATACTTTAAATCAGTGGTTCTCAACCTGAAGTCTGCGATATCCTCACAGAATTTAATTATTAAATTATTAACTATTATTTGTGTTGATGCTATTATTTTCAATTTGTAGGGGATCATTATAATCAAAATACTATATTAAAATTGGAGTGTTAACTTATATCCCCTTCTCTCTAAATTTGGAGGACCTTTATAAGAAAATATAAATAATTATTATTTGAAGCAGCCTAGTACCTCAAATCATGAATAAAGTCTTGTGGGTCTATGACTACAAAAATATTTAAAATGGGGTCTGTGGTTAGCAAAAGGCTGAGAATAATGGCTTTAAATAAAAGATGTACTTTCCCCCTCTTCAAGACATCAAATAATGGACTACATCTCTTGCATTTACTGAGAATATGCAAGAGCAAAGAGTAACCCATAGGAACAAATCCTCCTCAAAGTGTTCTGATCTGACTTTTAGGCAGTTTTTTGGTCACCAGTCTATCCAAACTAGCTTAAACCCTGCTACAGATGTTGTGCTTTTCTTCTTTTCTGCCTAAAATGCAAAATCTGTCAAAATTTTGGCAAGATTTGATGAAACTTCACTTCCAGTGCACTAAAATAAAACAGTGGGGTCTGCTGGAGGTGTATCTAAGGAACATTGGTTTCAGAGTTACTCACCTCTCATTTACTATGGACAAAATCTGTGGTCCAAACTTTCCTACTTTGGGAAGTATAGTTCCAATATATCTTTTTTGAATGGTTTCTATTTGGAAAAAATGCCTTTTTTGAAACTAAAGAAGATGTAAAAGTAAAAGCATAATTACAGCACCTGACAACCAAAACATATATAGAGAGAACACATAATCAAGAGAAACAGCAAATCAGCCTCTTTGTTCATGGGAAACGATTTCTAGCTGGATCTCTAACAAAATAATTCCTAGCTGGGTTTCTCAGCCATTTCTAGCTGGATCTACATCAATTCCCAAAGAAAAGAGTTTTACTGGTACAATTGATTCAGATGTTCTACAGCAGGGATTAGCAAGTGGGATTTCTTCCTTTGGGAAACATACCTAACACACATATAGAAATATGTACATTAAAGGACACTAGATTCCTCATAATTGTCTACCCAGGCATACATTTTATGCATCTATTCTATACTTTCAGTCAGTAGATAGAGCTGAAACAAGGCTTCTTGCATTTTTAAAAGACTTCACCCCAGAGGTCTGAAAAGACAGCTCTAAACTAACCTATATTTATGATGGAAAGAAAATTGGTATAATTTGTTTTGGACACGCCATCTTAACACATTTTGTTGCCTTAGCACACGGGGCTCCAGGACCCATACAAATTATAGTGCACACATAGTAACTGAAACCAGACAGGTCCACCCAGGAGGCAGACAATCTAGCAAGCATTTCTCTTCACATGTAGCAATTTGTTTCACATTCATGACTGTGAATGTGACTGTGGTTCTGAGCAAACTGAAAGCTGGTGATTCTAGGAGAAAGTTAATTGAGCATTGGCTTCTTTCTCTTCATGGCCACAGCCCCCCTATTCCTTGTCCCTTAACTGTTGTTGTATGGAGGAATAATTGGAGCGGATTGCGCAGCTCCTACTTCTGGGAAATGGAAATCATTATTTCATCCTTCACATTTTAAGAGACCCCACTAATGATATTTTGCCTGAGCAACCTTTAGAGTCATATACATCATTCAGCTAATTACAAATATCATTGCTCAGTTGTCCCAATTTTACATCATTGCCTAAAATAAATTGGGAAAGCCAATGTGGTGTAGTGGTTTGAACACTGGATGATGAGTCAGGAGACTAAGGCTCAATGCCTCATTTGGTCATGAAAAGCCACTGGATAACTTGGGAAAGTCATGCACTCTCTGCCACAGAAAACCCCATGAAATGTTCTTGTGGCATCACCATAAATCAGAAGACACACAACAATAATGTATTTTAGTCTTAATATTACCTTGCCCTCAAACTAAGTAAAAAGCATTAGTAAGAGTGGTATAAGCTCAAATACATTGCACAGTGCATTTTTAAGTTTTAAAGGCTATTTAAGTGTATTTATTGTATTTTAATCTGTTTGGACCACACTGTTACTATTTAATTGTTTTAAAACGTTTGTATTGTACTTTTAAAACTTGACTAAGTATAGGATTGCTATCTGCCTTGAGTCCTCATGGGGAGAAAGGTGGGGTATTTATTTATTATTTATTTACTTTATTTCTATACCGCTTTTCTCAGCCCTCAGGCGATAAAGTTAATGATGGCAACAAAAACAACAACAATGTCAATAAAATGAATATCCTCCTCTAAATAATATATTTATTTCAAAATATACCAATTTTACTAAATTACAACTATTTGAAACATTCACATCTAGCTCCAACAGACAAGAGTTCTTTCTCCCACCCTGGACATTCCACAGATATATATACCCCATTATCCTAGTTTCCAACAGACCTCACAACCTCTGAGGATGCCTGCAATAGATGCAGGTGAAAGGTCAGGAGAGAATGCTTCTGGAACATGGCCATATAGCCTGCAAAACTTGCAACAACTCAATGATTCTGGCCATGGAAGCCTTCAACAACACATATTACAGAGGGAGATCAAGTAAAAGACCACATGATTGAATGGGCACAAAACATTGGACATAATATTGAAATGAGTACATGGGAATACTTGTGGAAAAAGGGGATAACATTGACCCACAACTGTGGCCTCCATGAGAATTTTTATAAAATAATGTATTGCTGGTATATGTTGCCAGAACAACTAGCAAAAATCCACCAAAGAGAAAGAATATTTGTTGGAAATATAATGCTGAGGTTGGTTCCTTTTACCATATGCTGTGACTATGCTCACAAATTGAAAATAAAAATGATTTTAGAACCCGGAACTTTACTATTAAGTCTAAGTCATAAGCACATTTCAAAAAAATATGAGATGTCTTTAATACATGGTATCAATGGACAGGATATTATTTGCAAAATATTGGAAGCAACAGACAATGTCAACTGTGGAGGTTGTAAAATGAAGCTCATAAAGCTCTCCGAAATCTAAAAATAAAAATGACTGGCTTCTTAAATTAAATAAAGTACCATACATTGAACTAGTAAAGCACTCAAGTTGAACAAGAATTGATAGAAAGTATCTTCCAACACTACTGAGAACACAAGATAGAGTTGCCTCTACCCATGAACATCAAATTTCCTATCTTCTTTTCCATTCCTATTTTTCCTGTAAATAGAACAATATACTGAAAATAAGAAGACATAATATAACAAAAAGAAAGAAAGACTATATTGTGGTCTGAACTGACATGAGATCAGGTCATTTGATCTATCATGGCGTAGTCTTGATTTTGTTCCTTTCTTATTTCTGAATAAGGTCCTATGTTCAGGACATGAGGGATGAAAACAGGGGCAAACATGTGGCCCTACATGTTGATAGCATATTTCATGACAGCTATGTAAGATATCTGATAAGGAAGAAATATTTACAATATTTAAAGCAAGCAACTCCACCACAAAATAGGAAAAAACCTAAACCGAGTCCTTAGTTCTGATAATCTTTCAAGGGAACTTCACATATCTTGTCTTGCTAAATCAGTGGTTCTCAACCTGTGTTTTGACCTTCAGGTGTTTTGATCTTCAACTCCCAGAAATCCTAACAGCTGGTAAACTGGCTGGGAATTCTGGGAGTTGTAGGCCAAAACATCTGGGGACTCACAGGTTGAGAACCACTAATCTAAATTAAAGAGCTGTAATGGAAAAATAAATTGAGACACAGAAAAAAAAATATTGCACAGGTGCAGGCGGATTTGGATCCAGCCAAGATAAAAGGTTTGAAGAACCAATCAAGAAAAGGAAATTTCCCAAATAGACTCAAATATAGACCCTGGCTGAGTGTTGTACGTGCCTTGTATATTTTAATTTTTGGAAGTTTTTATCTATGGGATTAAATATGTTTTGAGTTTCAGTGCTAAACTTTTGTCATTTCTGGAAGCCTCTAGTGATGTCATTAAGTACAATACATTAAGAGTCAAGCACTGCTTTGAAGTGTTGACTATTAAAAAGCAAAGAGTCTAACAAATGAGGTAAATACAGTATTATACATCATACATTTCAAGTCACTGCTCTTCCTCTGAGATTTTCCCACCTACTATGAGAACTGAAGAGGAGGCTCCAAGCACTGAGATTCTGAGCCAAGCACCGACGAGACCAGGGAGCTATATGTTTCAGCTCATTACAATTCCCAAGTTCCCTTGAGGAAAGCTATCAAAATGAAATTGATATAAAATTAAAATATCTTTGAAACAGAGATAATCTCTTAGTAATAATCCCTTGTTGCTGTCTTAGTACTAACTTCTTTTAAATCATTCTGCACTTGGAAAAACCCCAGAAAACCTCAGAAAGTTGTTTCATAATTCTGCAAGTGGATTACTAAAATTAACAGAGATTTAATTTCATTTTTCTTTGCTCTTCTCCCCCCAAAATGCTGTGTTGCTTCTCATTGTAAAATGTTAGCATCTTGAAATGGTGCAATATTAATGACGATGGGGCGTTGTCTATATTTAACTTGATTAATAGCAGATCAAAAGAGAGAGGGAGGGAGAGAGAAGAGGAGATGTTCCAAAATGAGCACAGTCCCAACCCTGAATTTTCTTTCCAGTCTAACAGGTTATTGCTGTAACTTGTTCTTTAAAATTTAGGTGGAGTTTTCTTCTTCAGTGCCTGTTTGGACCACAGAGCAGCTCTCTCTACCTTAACTTCTCTTTTCTACTTCTTCCTTTCACATGCTCACAGTACGCCTGTATTAAACTGCAGTTTTCCACAAATTTCTGAAGCTATAGTAGGAAGATCTTTTGGCTTACCAGTCAACAAAGTGAAGCAGACTTAAACAAGATGGTGAGGCAAGGCCTGGACTATACCCGCTGCAGATGGATTTTGCCTCTTCTTGCGGGTCTAGCCATGCTGTTTGGCATCATAGCATTGGCTGGTTGGGACTGGATTAGCTCGCAAACCCTGCCATTTGCACAACATGCCTCCTTATGGAGAATATGTTCCTTACAAAACGGATGGCAATGCAGGTCACTCCTAGACTATGGTAAGTCTCCCAGGGAGGAAATCTGTATTCTACTGATAAATATGACTTTGAGATTTGAATCTAAACAATTTGAAAGGAAAAGAGTCATTTACAGAATGAAGTTGCTAAATATGGATAGTGTTTTACTCAACAATACTTCTCTTGTATTTGTATATAGATGTTGAGTGTGTGTGTGTGTGTGTTTATGCTGTATTGTGTATTAAGTTTTCAAGACAGAGTAAGTCTGTAACCAGTTTACATAACATCTCCATTCTGGAATTTCTGCAAAAATTTCCTACCCGACTAAAAATAGTTGGAGTTAGGACTAAGAAATATGGCAACCATAGGGACATCTCAAACAAAGCAAATTGTGAAACAGTTTTGCAGAACTGAAAACTGCATGTTCAGAAAAACTGTGTAGTAGAATGCATGCATCACTAAACTTCGCCATAAGTAGGGCTTATATTTTTAGGGACAAATGGAAGGATAAGAAAACTGTTTCTTAGGAAACATGCAATGTTTTTGAAAAATTACAAGCCTAAATTACATGATTACATTCTGAGTAGAGTGGGCTCATTGAATCCATTGGATTTATTTATGTGTGGATTCGCCATTCAAGTTTTGATAAATTTGGTCAACTTTAGTTGGGACTAATAAACAGAATTCAGGCATTGTTTGCTAAGAAATCTGTAAGTGATATGAAAACAAACTGGTAAAAAAATCTGTATTTCCAGAAGAATGATTATGTCCCAAAAGTATTATTATTATTATTATTATTATTATTATTATTATTATTATTGTAACAGCAGTAGTAGTATCTTGCTTTTTGTCTCCAAAAGAAAAAAGACTCCAAGTGGCTTGTAGCGTCATTTTGTTAGGCAACAAAATATCAATGTCCACTATATTTTAAAATAAATCCATTAGGAGACAAAATCTCACATATATCTGTACTTTCTCTATGCATTGGAATAAAACAATTCTGAGCATGCCACTACTAGTGGATTTATTTTAAAATCTGGATGGACACTGATTTTTCTTTTTCCTAACAAAATGATCCCACAAGAAATTAAGCTCTATACAGTGACTACTAGCACTGTCAGTACTAAATAAGTGATAAGTTAGAACTTGCAGCAGGATAGACATTGGGTAACACTCAAATACCAGTCATGATATATACAAATAAAAGGATGAAATAACCAGAATGACTATCCACCTTTTTGGCCCATGGTAATGGACACCAACCTAGATGACTCTTCAAAAGGGAATTAGAGATGTTCTTGAAGAGTAAAGCTGATGATAGTTCTATATCAGCAATGTAGAAGTGTGTTCCTAGGGCCCTAGGTGGTTAACCCTCACTCACTTCAGACTCTGTGGAGCACCCTTGTCCATGGTTTAAAGGGAAAAGGTAGAAGTGGGGAACGCCATGCAAATAATCAGCACCAAATTTCCATAGACTTAAAGTTATCGTTGAGGGTTTGTGTGGGTAAATATACTGCTTTAAAATCTAAAATAATTGTACAAATTTTGAGCTATTACGCCTTTTAAAATTCTTCAACTCATGCTTCATAAATCTTAAGCAAAATATTAAAATGGCAGCATTAAATCAGATAGGAACTGTGTAATAGGATGTCCAAGCTTACGTTATTAGAATACTCTATCCTTTAATCCTCTCCTGTTACCCAATAGTTCAAGATACACAAGATATCCATAAAATCTATATGTAATATTATGCTTGTGAAACAGGGGGATAGTGTGGCACATTACTTAACCATCTACTGGAAAGCCCCGGATTTGAACCCCCTTGATTTCCTTTATTTAACATATGCACTGCCTGCTTTGAAGAATACATTCTGGTTTTGAAAGGTTGAACAAACCTGAATTGTTCCATATGTCAATGTTTCACCTTCTTGGCACTTGTATGTAATGCTCTGTTGCTGTGTGTCTTCAAATTGTTTCTGATTTATGAAAATCCTCAGAAAATGATAAAAGGGAATGTTCTTGCAGGATTTATCTGGAGGGGGAGGTGCCATTGTCTTCCTCTGAGAGTGTAACTTGCCCAAGGTTCCCCAGTGAGTTTCCATGACCAATCAGGGATTGGACACCTAGAATAACACTCAACCCATTTCATCTTGATGGCTCTCACATGTAATTACATGAAGACAATATAATGCCCTAATCATGCTTAAGTCTGACTGAAGTCAAAACATTTTACTTCTAAATATAGCTGATAGGTACAGAATTATATAGAATGGGGCTGTAGAACGGACAGCGCCTAGTCATAAATATGTTTTTCAAATGATGCTAAATAGTTTGGTGTAGGCTTTCCTTTTTTTTGTTCTATTATTACTTTTTAGACACATTTTCTCCCAATATTTATTAATTGTGCTTTCTTGTTTTGTTAACTTATTCAAAACCCTTTGGAAGAATACAATATTTCTGGGCAGGATTTCTGAAGTTCAGTATATACCATTCATTCGTTGGTGCTGAAAAACAAATAAACCTCAGCCTTTGGATACTTTTCTTGAGAAAGCAACTTATGGAAATTATTTATTCCAGAATGGTAGCCAAAGGCTAGATTTTTTTTTCAGTCTCAAAAGGTCGGAATATATTTTGAGCTTCAAAAAGAACCTGCGTTGCATGAGCAGATGTGTTCTGAACCTCATATGAATATACATTTTAAGTGGTTACTACTACTGATCTCTCTTACCCACTCAAGATCACTGGAATCACACAGCCATTTCCCACTATCTTTCAGTATTATCTTTCCAGCAAACAAATTCCAATTTTTTGTGCAATAAATAAGAAATTCTGCCCTCTGTATTCACAGCTGGATTGTGTTGGACATGTACACACCAGAGAATCTCTGCTGGTTTTAATTTGCTCAAGTTCAGTGTCAGAATTCATATAGGAACTATGCAGAGTTTGGAAGTTACTTTTAGGACTAGCAGGATTACCAAGCTACACTCCAGAGATTTCAGGATTTTTTTTTTTGCAATACATGTCCTATTCTCTGATTTGAGATTGGGTGCAATTGAGGGTGGGAAGGTTGGAGGGTGGGACAGGTTGGTTGATGGTTATCCAGGTCTAGAAAGCATGGTGTCACATTTTTAAAAAAAAAAATCAGTGTATGTATGTAGATAACTACATATTAGAATAATCAAACGTTCACAGGTATTTTGAAATGGAGGTGTCCGTTTTGGAATTAACATTCAGTGTACATATGGGTGAGCGGTGGGCAAAGTTTATGACCGGGAGGGTTTTCCTTGGAATCCATTTCTGGCAAGCATGCTGGCAACTTTTTAAAGTTCAGTTTTCATATGGAGACAGATCTCCACATATGTGAATATCTAAGAGCCTGCACAGATTTTGAAATGTTGCTTCTACAGTTACGGCTTTCTCATCGTCTGCCTCTCATGTTCTGATGCCACCATCTGCCCTGGAGACTCATGTACCACCACTTTCTATTTTGTTGTGTGTGTCTTTCACATTTAAAACTCCTGCACTCACTCACTAATTAATTCAGGCAGGAGGGCCGAAGGGGATGGGACAGAGGAGCCACCCAATGTGAGTGCAAGGTGGGTGGTGAGATTATCAGGAAAATCAGAAAGGTTGTTGGTTGATAGGTTTGCACATGCTGGAAATAATAAGTCCAATAACTGCTGTGATCATGTGACCTAAAATAATGTAAACATGCCAGAAAAACCCCTTTGTACTATGGTGATTTCAGAGAGGGGAAACTATGTGACATTCTAGACCAATTTGAGTCTGGATTAAAATGGGTGAGTGTGAAATTAGTAGGGCCATAATGCTCACTGGGGTTGGAATATAGCTCTCATGTGGATGTAGCCTTAAGTTATGTAGGTAAAATACACAATTATTTTTAAGAGAACTGGGAGTAATTTTGGGAAGACTTTATTTCCCATATCATGCCCACAATTCCATGGTACTATAAACGCCTCTGTCAAAATATTATAAATAAGTTATTAAAACAAGTTGTTGAAACAGTGCAGTATCAGTGAAAACCTATTTTAAAGAAGAAAGGCATGACAAACCATGAACAGCAACCCCTCTTTCAAGTTTAAATAAACTCCCTCTCCAGGCTTCCATTAAAATATTACTATGTGCAAAGATAGAACCCTAGAGACATTTATTATGCAACAGCCCTGCCCCATTAAGTTGGGGCACAGCTGGGGACCCTGATCTTATGGCCACCTTCCATTTTTCACACCTCCAACACTGCTTCTCCTCCCCCCCCCCATCAATACCAAAAAACCCGATTAGGAAGAAAATAAAAGTTGATAGAAGCAGTTCTATCAATCCAGTGTTCTCATGCACACATAGAAGCATAACATTTCAGCCTATGAATAAACTTGTACGACAATATCTCAATGTAGTAAGAACTGAGATAACTGGATTTGATTTTGATTTTCAGCCTGGGGTCAAGGTGCAGCAGGCACTTTCATGGTTGCATTTGTCCTTGTGGTTATCTGTTTTGCCTTGTCTATCATCGCATTTGCCATCAACACACTTCGCTTCAACTTTGTGAGAGGAATAGGAGGCATCTTTTTCGTTGCTGGTAAGACCGTGTATCCAAATTAAAAGCATATACATGGCTTGATTTTTGGTTTGTTGGTAAGAGTTTAAGAAAAAGGCAGATGTACCTCTAGATTTGCAGGTTTTACATTTGAAGATCTGATCATTCACAGATTTGATTAATATGTTTTCTGTAGGAATTTCTAGATCTTCCAGCATGACTCGATGATCAACTTTCAGCAGAGGTTGACCTGAGATAGAATCATGCTGGAGGACCAAGAGATTCCTACAGAAAATGTTATGCAAAAATTTGTAGGCCCTTCAGTGCCAAATGTCAATCCCAGAAGCAAGGTGAGAATGAGAATTACAGCTTGGTAAAGTTTTTTTTTCCGGATGATAATTCCCAGAATCCTCCAGATGGCATGAGTCTCCATTAAAAAATATGTTTCAAAATTCTGAAAATAGATGCCAGAAATAGTATTGTGGCATATTTTACTGGAGATTTATGATTAACAAGTATGCCCTGATAGCATATAAAATGATCACTACTTTATTATGGGGCAGTTCTGCTTTCTTTCAAGCTGGTGGATTATCAGTTACCCAAGGTAACTTATATAAGACAAAGTCATTTTAAAGCATCCCTTTCTATTCTGTTACTAAATGAAATGATAATGATTTTATTATTGTAGTCACCACTGAGTTCCAGCTTTGAGGAAAGATAGCATATAGATAAGGAAGAATGATAGTTAAATAGAAATTCACTCATTCTGTTTTAATTCATTTTCTCTCTCTCTCTTTACAGCTGTATTCTCACTAATGGCCCTCGTCATCTACCCTGTAATGATCTCCAAATATATAATCTTCCCAGTCGGTACTGTGAATCAATTTGGCTGGGCCTATGGCTTTGGGTGGACCATGTGCCTAATGTCAATAGGTCTTGGGTTCTTCTTTTGCTGCCTCCCCCTCTATGAAGATCAAATTTTGGGAAATGTCAAACCTTATTATTATCCAGATATTTAAAATAACTGTTCAGAATATCAGCAGAGAAATCATATTTTCCATGAATGACTCCAAAGAAATGAGAAGACAAACAAAACAAAACAAAACAAAAACAAAAATCTGTTACTCCATTTCTATGTGCTCGAGCTGTAGATTTTTATAATTAGGAAGCAGTAGAAAGCAGCTTTAAAACATATGCATACACAATCAGTTTGGTTTTTATATTTTTCTGAATCTCTAGTGAAAGCCTAGAAGATTTTATCTTTAATTTTTTTAACTAGTCATACTGTAATCTGCCTTTTTGAGATATAGCAGGCAAATAAAATTTTATTTAGTTGTAACTGATGGATTACCTATTTAAAGGTAGATCTTACTAAAGGTTGGCAAAGTTCATTTTTAAAAGTATTTTGTTCTTATTACTCATTACTGTGTTTGAAAAGTAACAGCTTTTGTTGCTTGGTACAGTGTTGGAAAGCGTAACTTGTTCCATGCCTTTTTTTTGTATTGCAGTTTACTTTCTTATTACATTCCATTATTTTTTGGCCTCATCACATGGCCACCGAAAAAGGCTCATTTCACTTCATCATAGGGCATGGCAAAGCTGCTGCCCCTCGTCCTTTACTGCCCGGCTGTTGCAGCTGTTGATCCCATGGGGGGAAGTGTGGTGTGCGCATGGAGCATGCAGCTTCCCACCATTAAAGTAAATGGCAATATGGGAAGCTCCTGTATTGCTGCGGTGGCAGCATGGCGGTTCCACCCTCTTTCACCCACTGAGTTAGCACAACATCTTCTGATGGGAGCTGGCTGGCTCCATGAGTGACCGGGGCTAGGTCTGCGCATACTGCTGATTTTAGTCCCATGCGATGAGGTTATAGAATAATCACTTAGGATCAATCAGAGAATTGTACAGAATTTTAAAAAATCTGTCATAATCCTTTTCACATAACTTTAAAAAGTAAAATAAAGTTTTTCATAACACTAGTATACTAAGTTTACTTTTTGTTATTATCTTACTTCTGAAATGTAATGCTGTTACACCCTTGCTACCTAGAAAAAAATAATAAGATACAAGTCATAATGTTACTCATCAAATGTTGACATCAAAGTTGTATTTTTAAATGCATCTGATCTTGATGATTTGGTTGAAGAAGAAATGGTTCAATAAGAAAATACATTTTCCCAGAAATGACCTTTTCACAGAGGCTACTAATATAACCGCTTGTGTATAAGTGCCTTTCTCTTAATAAGAATACTGATTGAGAAGTAGTATGATCCTTCTTTCTCAAATAACTGAAAGGATAGAGGGACTGTACAATGAAATTCTGTATGTCTTGAGCAGGGCTAGCCCTATTACTAGACTTATTGAGATATCTGATACAGGTAGTGCTTTTGGGAGAATGACATCCCTGAGATAGGCTCCTCAAGGCCCTTAAGCTAATAGTCTTTACTTAGTTATAATGAGAGATATTATCTCATTAACAGTGAATTCCAACCACTAGTTGGATTTTTGACAGGAGAATGGGGATGCCATCTTGCCTTTTGCCTCTGACAGCAGAATGTCTTTGCTAAACCTGAGTGTCTTAGGAAAGTAGGCTATGGACTAAGGATTAATTGGCAAGCAATTCCACTGGACCGATACAGTATGACCTTCATATGCATAAGAGATCTGTTCCTGAACTTGCTATGTAAACATGAAATTGTAAATAATATAGAAAACTGTTGAAATGAACAATATCTGGCATACGCATATTATAGAATTACACCATAGTACATAGAAAATGCCTAGAGAGAACACCCCTCTGATATTTTTAGGTTCTCCAGCACAACTCGGTGGTCACCTTCAGGTAGAAGCATAGAATAGAATTGTGCTGGATGACCTGAGAAATGCCTAGAGAGAACCTACTTTTCTAACATGGGTAAATGAAGTTGTGGGTACTGCAGGTAAAGGGCTTTTACTATATTGCCTTATTACCTCCTTTAGGCTTTCTTCTGACCATCTTACCAAATGATTTTATGCTTCCTTGCAAGTAAGAATGTGTGGCCATAAATTGTAAGCCCCCTGGCAGGAAGTGTGTGATTACTATGTTTTGTATTATGTAAATGGTGTTAATTACTTGTAGCTGTGGCAAAAGGTTCTCCTCCAGACTAACTACATTGTTCTGAATGTTTCTTCGCTGCATATTAAAGAAGACTTTTTTTCATTAAAAACAGTTAAGAAAATGTTTTCTGTCGCTATATGGTCAAAAATATGTACAATAGACATTTTAAAACAAGCTTAATAATGAAGAATTTTAAAAATGATTTAAGCATGTGGACAAGTTGGCCTTCAAGTTCATAAATTGATTTGTGCATTGAAATGCCCATAGCTCATTGACATCCACCTCCCTTAGCTTTGTGTCTCGTTCACCAAATGACATGCCTTTCATGGACTAAACCATTTCAGAATCCAAAAAAGGAGTTTCATTTTCACTAACTTTCTGTATTAAAAACAATGAGTATGAGAAAAAAGCCTTTCCCTAGTACACTTATTTTTATGAGCAGCGTAAATGACTTTTAAAAAATGATTTAATTTGGTTTAAATGTGAAGAACCATCATTCAAAGATGTCTTTGCTCCTTGCTTACATTTCCATTGATGTGAAACAAAAGGTGTCTCTGCCTAGGCCAGTGGTTCTCAACCTGGAGTCCCCAGATGTTTTTGGCCTTCAGTTCCCAGAAATCCTAACAGCTGGTAAACTGGCTGGGATTTCTGGGAGTTGTAGGCCAAAAACATCTGGGGACCCCAGGTTGAGAACCACTGGCCTAGGCCCTCTAGAGCTCGTCTTGCAAGCTTGCAAAGCTGATGATGTGGGAAGTGTCCAGTACGAAGTGCCCTGTAGCCTCGTGTTTGTATTTTAACATACATTGACTCACCAGTGTCTGTTGAAATGGCAGTGACTAGGTTGGGCTGTGCTTGGGAAAAAAGTGTTTTCTTCCAGATTTGGCCAATCCAGCTGAACAACTGTTGCACCAACTGTGACGAATGCCTCCTTGTGGTTCTCTTTATCTGTGAGACCAAGCTTGGAGATACTTTTTTGGACCTCAAAAACTAGGATTTTACAGTGGAGAGAATTGTGAACCCCAAAAGCAATTGGTCCACACCCTGTTGTGATTATTCTAGGGCTCTTTCAACTAGCCTGTTAACTTACAATATTGCATTGCTCAAGGAAATGGAAACATACCAGTATGGAAACAATCACTTTCACACCTTACATCCAATAGTGTTATGATGCCACTTCAATGATGCACATTCTCACTCTATGTAGCACATGTGTGCTGCTTATATTTATTTTTTCTTATGCTGCAATTGCACAGTTTTGATCCTTCTTGCAAATGGAGGGCACTGGCACAATTGCAATCCATGACAACACCACAATTGTACAATTATGGAAAAACAAATTTAAAAAATAAAGTCCAGGAAACAGAGTAGCGTAGTTTCTGTATACCATGGCATCCTCTTTGTCCAGACATTGGAAATGGGGCAACTTCTCTCTGCTTGGAGATAGGAAGGGAGAGAAGGGGAGAACCATTTCCATTCATATCACAGGACTCTTAGGATAATGGTTTAATGAAAAAAATGTGGTCCAGAAATGATGGAAATGCAATGCAGCAATGGGAGAGACATGACATTGTGTGATTAATCACAGCCAGAAATGTTATCCTTCTGCAATTGCGATTTATCACCCTTGTATTATAAAGTCTCAGAGCTATAAGAGCTACTCTTACCTTACAGAAACCATGTTTATACATGTTTGATCCATGGCCAAATTGTCTTTATTTACACATTCATATATCACATGCAAAAACATGCTTCATAGATGTTAGATGCACACAATAATTATTCTTTTCACCCTGCCAACAATCTCTGCATTATTTTTTTAATGGAGTACAGTGATTTTATCCATGTCAACACCAGGCATGGCACAAGACTGTTCTTTACCTATGAGGCATCAAAAAGGTAAAAGCCTGGAAACTGGATAAAGAAAACAGAAGCTTAAAGTGTCTTATAAAGCCACAAGTTCCTGAATAAGTATGTTCTGAAAATGAAATGAGCAGAACATAAAGAATAAAGGAGGAATTTTTTTCATTTGTGAAACTAAAACAAATAAGTAAGGGAATCTGCCAATATGAATGTTATTTTTGTAATGTCAACAGATGAAAATCAAAGCAACGTGATATATGTGCCTAGGCATGTATGTCAGCTCTCCCATAGACACACCTCAGGTGTGGCTCTTAATCATCTAAAACCTACGCCAACTGAAACAGAAACATTCTGAACTTGGATCCTGTGAACAGTTTTGTTAGAGACCGAAGTGTATTCTGAAGAAAAGGAAAACATTAGTGGGGGTCTGACTTCTTGCAAAAAGAAAATTACAAGACTTGTAACATCCTCCGTACTAGTGGGCTTTTTTTTCATGACAGGAGCGACTTGAGAAACTGCAAGTCGCTTCTGGTGTGAGAGAATTGGCTGTCTGCAAGGACATTGCCCAGGGAATGCCCAGATGTTTGATGTTTTACCATCCTTGTGGGAGGCTTCTCTCATGTCCCAACATGCAGAGCTGGAGCTGACAGAGGGAGCTTGTGTCTTCTTCTCATTCAATAATCAAATGCTTGGTCCCACAACCAAGTCTTGAATTTCCTTCTAAAGGACAGGAGGGAGGTGGCAATCTGATGTCCCTGGAGAGGGAATTCCACAGGCAGGGGACCACTGCTGTCCCTCGTCCCCATGATGACAGTGGGATCAAGAGCAGGGCGTCTCCAGATGATCTTAAACTTCATGATGGTTCGTAACAGGAGATACATTCAGACAGGTAGTCTGGGCCTTTGTTTCTAATGTTATAGAGTGTGCGTACAGAGATGGCTCCGGAGACAAATATGACTGTCTTCATTGCTGCTTCCACTGAGTCACAATAATGGCAACAGATCTTGTAAGTTTCAGGCAAAAAACCTAAAACTCAAGTCATGTTTAGTTGTTAGTAGCCATGCACAGAGAAGAAAAAGAATAAGTGGAAAACCTGGCCACAGTGTACGACAAAGAGGTGCTGCAGAAGAAAAATTTGGGAGACCATTGGCTGGGAGCGAATCAAGTGCCTGAAGATTTTTTTAAAACCCAGGTTTTTCTGTTCATTCTTTAAGGAGAAAATAATCCATAAAGCTGAATCAGCAGCTCTTTGAAGAGATGATGATTTGATTTCAGACTTCTGTTGAAACTTGTTTTGTGTCTATGCCTCAAGCTAGGGCTGGATGAAGCAACACCTTACTGGCTAAGTCTTCCAATAAGCAATGCCTTTACATTGCATACCAAAAAGCTGCTCACCTGAAATTGCTGAAAGGCACTTAGGCAATTGCTCAGGATGCCATTCCAGCATGGAAATAAAAGTTACAAGACTCTTTCCCATGGCTCAACTGGGATCATGTGTTAGGAAGACTTGTATTTGCAGTCAAGAACCACACCCACTTGATTTTCAGTCACCAGGCACATTTTCCCAACAGTTTATTGCAAGCCTATGCCAAATGCCTATAGAAGCAAACACTTCAAGTAACCGGAGACATACTTTTTGTAGAATTCAGATTACAATAAAATTCAGCATTAATACGTTTTTCAGTCCCTGTTAGTTTCTACCTAATGTTGTTTTCTGATCAAAATATAAGTGGAAAAACATGGTCAGCTGAAGAGAAAAATTCAATTGTGATGTTATACTCGTGTTTCCAAAGATATACTCATAAAATAGGAAAAGCAAGGGCATTTTTAAACACTTTGGAATATGGGATGGAGTGCTTACATGGACTGAAGACCCAACCATGCTTCATTTAGCCTTTTGAAGATCTAACATAATCCAGATCACCAGGTCCCTGACAGCCAGTGTCTATGCTGGATGGGTCATTTTGGCATTTATAGTACAAAAAGTAGCTTTCTGAAACTGTAACAAAATCTGTCTGCATATATACCCCAACAGATAGTCAAACTGCGTGCTGTTTGAGAATGCACAGAGAAAGACAGAAGGCAGAACTAAAAGCAGTTTAGCTCCAGTGTTATCTATTGATCTTCTTCAGTGATTCATTGCATGGATATTAGGAAACTCTCTGTACTCTGAACGTTAAATTAAAAATATTAAGCATTTGTTCCTGTCTATAATTGACTGTACAGAAGACCTTTGAAGATGCCATTCAGGTCAGTATTAAATAGTTAATGATGGCGTTTGATCACTAAAGCTGGTGTTTTTCTTGACACCATCACACCTATCTTATTGAGAAGCATCTGATTGCCTAAGATGAAACTGCCAATGAGTCCAAAGTCATTTATTAGCTTGACAAAGAACAACACCCATGACACTGAACAGGAAGTCATAAATGATTTGGACACATGGACTCCAGGAAAGATATCATATTGGTTTATAATTGTCAGGAAAGAAAGATGGGGACGGATTGGGGCTTATATTTTTTGAGTTTTCTTTTTCCAGAAGGAAGAAGACTGAAAAATATGCAATTTTCCTCTCTAGGATGTTGTGAATGAAATGGCCTCTGGATAGTTTTCCAGCAGGTCTCTCTCCCCCCCCCCCCTTTTTTTTGTTCCTTAGCAAGGAGTCCTATTTTGAAACAGCTTTTGAAAATGTGTTTGTTCTAAGTATGACTGTCTTGACTTCAACCATACATTTAATGCCTTTAATATTAATATTTAACACAGCCTTGGGGACAACTTGCAAAGATTATTGAACATAATCATCCTTGTACAGTATTGGAAATCTATGGAAGAATGTGGGACTGTGAGATATGACTTGCCAAGGGAAATACTCCTAATGAATATGTTTGATTAAAGAGACAATTCCTCCACCACACAGCTGACATTGACTCCTGAGTGGGAGTTATGTGCAATATATAGAAGAGGTAAGTGAGCACAACAATGTCTTTGCTGTCAAAATGACAGAGGGTGAGGCACTGGGTGTTGGCTGAGGAACTCCCAAGATGGCTGGAACAAAAAGAAATAAATGTTTTATTTCAGAAGGAAACTCCTATGACAAGAAATACCTTTCCCTGTCTGAGCTACAAAGGATGTAGTGGCCCAGAGGTGGGAATGCTGTATTCCTCCAGATGTTGAATTGCAGTTCTCATCAGCCTCAGTCGACACAACCAATGGTGGTGAAAGCAGGGAGTTGCAGAAGAAGACTACAAATTCCCATCCCATAGCAGAATGAACGGAGTAAATTGGCTAAATTGACAAGAAGATTAATACAGGTTCTGTAATGATTTGGGGGAAGTTATACATCTGCCTTCTCAGTGCTATTGAGATGTGTTGGACTACAATTCTCATAATTCCCTGTCAACATGGGCAGCTGACTGGTACACAGTGTTTCGGAATATGACTCTCAAAAAGTAGCTGAGGGCGCTTCTACACCCCTCTAGAAGAAAAGGTTACATTGTTGTGGTGACACGCATTTTGAGATGTAATACTAAGACTTCTGACATTCCTGCAGTG